GGATTATGCTGATTATGCTGATTTGGCAAGACGGATTATGCTGATTATGCTGATTTGGCAAGACGGATTATGCTGAAAACACTAGAGAGATTTTTAAATTATTGGAAAAAAAATATTTATTCAGGAATCAGGCATCAAGTTTTTAGAGCCGAGGTGGCGCAGTGGTTAGGGTGCATTACTGCAGGCCACTTCAGCTGACTGTTATCTGCAGTTCAGCGGTTCTAATCTCACTGGCTCAAGGTTGACTCAGCCTTCTATCCTTCCGAGGTGGGTGAAATGAGGACCCAGACTGTGGGGGCAATATGCTGATTCTGTAAACCGCTTAGAGAGGGCTGAAAGCCCTATGAAGCGGTGTATAAGTCTAACTGCTATTGCTATTGCTATTGCTATTATTTTCTGGAAGGATTTAGCACATTTTTCTGTGCAAATTTCTGTGACTTACAGAGGCATTATGTACCTGGAACTAACATGTTATGTGCTTCTATTACCAGGGAGTCTTGCACAGGGCCTTCCATTGCACAATTGAGAGAGATCTTGGAAAACCGAAATATAAGTGTCTCCTGCGAAGACAATTACAGGTAATTTCTGTGCAGCAGAATAATAAAAATTACAGAAATAATGCAAGGTTATCATCTTCAAAAACCTCAACAAAAACAGTTTCTGCTTTATCACTTGGTAGATATTATTGTTATTTTAATCAACAAGTATCAATCACTGTAATTTTTAAGCATACTGTTTAATATAATAGAATTATATAATATATATATATTATAATTATATAGAGTTATATAATATAATATTATAGAGTTAATATAATAAAAGAAAAGAAATGAATTGATAAAGGTTATATCCATGGATCCCTCCTTACAAGTCAATCTTTCCAGAGGTTACAATAAATCTTATAAAAATGGTTCTATTATATGGTTATAATGCGAATACATACAGAGTCAGATAAGCAAAATGTAGAATGAGAAAGAAATCAAAGCTTTTGTAAACAGCTTTTCCATCAGTTTATTCAAGTGGTGTTATCAAATCAAAAATTAAAGATTCAAATGCATTTTTGAATGATGTGTCCCAAACTTGAGGCTTCCAATCACATAAAAAAGTATAGGATGATCTGGGAGGAAAGGGACAGCCAAACAAATCACTATTCATACAAATTATTCAAAGATAGTGTGATCCCAAACTAAATCTTGGATACAGTGAACTCTCTTTTGATGTGATGGAAAGACATACCATATTTTTCAGTCTATAAGACACACTTCCACCATAAAGTAGGTGGAAATGTCTGTACATCTTATAAAGCGATTGTTGCCAAATCCCTGCCCATCTGACCAGCCCTCACCCTTTGGCTGTTTTTGTCCTCCATGCATCCCATTTTCGGCGTCCGCATGCCCTGTTTTCAGCCTCTGTGCATCCAGTTTTCAGCTCATTCCAGGCACCAAGGATTGCCGCTACTGCTGATCTCCACCAATCGCTGTCGATAGGTGGCGGCAATCCCCGCTGCCTGGAATGGGCTGAAAACAGGACGTGCAGAGGTCAAAAACGGGATGCACAGAGTCTGAAAACACAAGACACCGAGGCGGCAATTATCCCAACAGCCTGGAGCAGCTGATTGGTGGTATTCCAGGAGGCCAATCCAACCAAGAACCAGCTGCTTATGCTAAATCAGGCTGCGATAACATGCTAAAGCTGACCAGGCTGTTTGCTGCAAGGACGCTAGCCCGATAAATACCAATGGATTCTGGGAGGCAGAAGCAATTCTTTTTCTTGTTTTCCTCCCCAAAAGCTAAGTGCATCTTATGGTCCGGAGCGTTTTATAGTGCAAAAATATGGTAATTAATTTTATGTCTTTGGTGAAGGTTTAATGTTACATTCAAAAGTGGTTTGAATTATTTTTCTCATCCAAAGTAGTAGGTTTTCCCGTTTGTTCTGTATTTTTTTTTGTTTCCTGTTCGTTCTTTGTGTATTAAAGTGGAAATTTTGACAAAATTAAACTATCAAAAACTGTGTTCAATAAGGGTGCCTAAAGTGTCCTCTTCTACTTATATCAATAATGGAAACTCTTCTAATATTACACAGACATTGATAAATTAAATCTATACATCTTCTGGGTGGATGTAGACTTGCCATATTTATTTATTTTATTTATTAAATTTGCCACTGTATATGTGGATTTATATGTATATTTTGTTACTGTTTTACAACAGGCCGGCACAGTTACTTCAGTGTACTAGAAACCCCAACCACAAGGCCTGCACAATTTGTTCCTGAAATCATGGTATTGTTGTTAACCAAATATTATTATTAATGAAATGCAGTATAGCATATAATTTATAAAGAAGAAACTATAGAAGTAGAAGATGGTAATAAGCAAAATCTTAGCTAATCTTTTGTTGCATTTGTACAGGGATATTGCATAAGCTGTTTGCATTTGCAAAATAAGAATGAAATAATTAGAAGTGATTTATATCTTTCCAAAAATAATGAAAACATTCTTATTAGAGGCCACTTCAAAATGTGAGGGTTATGTCTATCAGAGATCAGAGCCATCCCAAGTCTTCCATTTGATAATATGAATCTTCAGACCTAGAATTAAGGAAAATTTTCCTGACAGTGAGAACCAGTGGAATGGATTACCTTTAGAAGTTGTGGGTGCTCCATCAGTGGAAACTGTTAACTAGAGACTGGATAGCCACTTCTCTGGAATGGTATGGGGCAGTGATGGTGAACCTTTTAAGGACCGAATGCCCAAACTGCAACCCAAAACCCACTTATTTATCACAAAGTGCCAACATGGCAATGTAATCTGAATAATGAGGTTTTGTGAGGAATTTCAATCACTCTTTCACAACTTTACTTCTCTCTGGTCTCCCTCTCCCCCTCCGTCCCTCCCTCCCCCCCCTCTCTCTCTCTCACACACACACACTGATTTTTATTACACTTTCCCTGGATCCTTGGGAAAGGAATGGCATCTTTTCCCCATCCCTGTCTTTAATAATCAGGATTTACATTTTGTGGAGTGTCTCTCCCCCACTACCCAGAAAAAAACAAGAGTCAGAAATGTGAACCAAGAAACCAAGGGGTTTTTTTTTTTGCTACTGGTTCTGTGGGCGTGACTTGGTGGGTGTGGCTTGGTGGGCATGGCAGGGAAAGGATACTGTCAAATCTCCATTCCCACCCCACTCCAGGGAAAGTTTATTGCAAAATCCCTATTCCCTCCTGAACAACTGGGACTTGGGTGCAGAGAATAGATAGGGGCAGGGCCAGTCAGAGGTGTTATTTACCAGTTGTCCAAACTACTCAAATTTCCGCTACCGGTTCTCCAAAACTGATTAGAACCTGCTGAATACCACCTCTGGTCAGAGGGCTACCAGTCTGAGAACTTGGTGCAGTCTGGAGCTGCTCCATTTTATGCACATTATCTCCAGCCAAGGCCCTTCACTTTCCTTTCAGGACCGGTTTGCTGAGGAGGGGGGAGCAGCCCTGATGCCTCTGCTTCCCCCCTCCCCATGGTCCTAGCCATCACTTCCCGGCTTCTTCAAAGGCACAGCACTTTTCAAAGGTGGCAGCTCGTGTCTGGAAGTGCTGAACAGCGGGACAGCTGGGAGAGCCAGGCCTGGCCTCTCCACCATCTGATTCTCCACTAGGAGTGCTTCTGTTCGGCCACCCCAACTCACTAGGCTTTTGTGCTCAGCGCTGGGGCTGGGGGAGGATTAGGCTTAGCCACCTCCTTCTTTCTCTTGGCCCCGCTTTAAGGTATCTACTCATTAAAATTAAAACAGCAATGGTTTTTCTTTCCACGTTAGTGCTGAAGCTTGTCCAAAGAAGGCCTGCTTTAATAAACAGTAGCAGGGCCATCTGCGTAGGCATCAAATAAGTCAAGATGGCAGTCAGTATCACGTAAACGTCTGCAGGTTAAACAGGGTGAGACTTCAATGACATGGGTATGGTTGCTATGTTGACATTTTAATCCTTCCTGATGATCCCTGTGAACAGCAGAAAGGGTTTGTTCTTACACAAAGTCCAAATTATTTTTGAACATCATATCATTAATCACTAATGATATGAATGCTGGAGAGATAGAACCCAGATGTCCTGGCTGATGCTACAGTGGAGCAATAATGTGTTTAGAAGGGGCCTCCCTCCTGGCACTCTGGCAGGAAATGTGACTGTTTGTAACACCTCACTCTTTTATCAAAGCAATATTTGTTTGATCTCTCTCCTTGGTGTTGTTGAGACAGATCATGCAAGAAGTGTCAGTCCGACTTCTAATGCAAGCTTCAACTAGTATTCGTTGAATGTAATGCACATTTTCTACCATTTTAATAACAAACGTTCCTTCCCCCCACTTTATACTGTTTTGGTTTCCCTACAGGGGAAGACAGAAGAGTGAATGTCATCAGAGTCAGAGAAACTCGACAGATTGTTCAATTTAATGAGCTTCTTTCTATCAGATAATTTTATGCCAATCAATAAGTTAGTTTCTGCTTTTCTAATTGTCAAGTTTTTGTTCTATTTTATTACTGTTTTGTTCTATTTTATCGTGTGTATCATTTGCGGCTGCTAATAAATGTAACAAGATATTTTAATAAAATATCCATTTATATTTTATTCCATTTTCTCTGACCCCCATTATTCCAAGGAAGACAATCAAGAGTAGTTATTATATATGTGTGAGAGGATAAATTGGAATGTGAGCATAAATCTCTCTAACTCTTGGTGAGCCATTGTCCTCTTCTGTTTCAACTCTAAATTAAAATTGAAGGTCTGAAAAAGCCCCTGCCTTTCTTAGTGATTGGCGTAAGTAAGCTCACCTTGGGGCACTTCACTACTTTATTTCTTTTTTTTTGAGGGGGGGGGAAATTGATCACCCCACCCTTCCTCCTTCTTGGCTGTGGTGTGGCTAGGAGAATGTGCATGAATGGGAAAACTCCCACAAATGAGTGCCAAAGCACAGCAAAGGCGTGTGCCGTTTGCTTAAGGAGGATCTTAACAGGATGCAAAAGAATGTGGCTTCTCTCTTACACTAAGGCTCCAGCTGACCGTGGAGGGCACAAGCTCTAGCCCAAAGTCGAGCCTTAGTGCAGGAGAGAAGCCATGTCCTTTTGCACCCTGTTAAGACTCTTAGGCAAGTGGTTGCCCGTCCTGTGCATGCCTTTGCTATGCTTTGGTGCTCATTTGAGAGGGGTCTCCCTGCATGTATGCACCATCCTGGCCCCACCACCATCCTGGCCAGAGGGTCACGAGAGAGAGAGAAGGGTTACCCAAAGGGAAGCCTCCACCACTGCTGGCAATCGTTCCTCAGCAGAGAAAGAGAGAAGAAGGAAGAGAGGGAGAAAGAGAGATGGGGAGAAGGGGAAATATGAGAGTGGGAGGAAGGGGGAGGGAGATAGGGAAGGAGATAAGAGAGATATGGAAGGAGAGAGAGAAAGAGATGAGAGGGAGGGATAGAGAGAAAGAAAGAGAGATAGAAGAGGGAGAAAGTGAGATGGGGGAGAGAGAGGGATATATAGAGTGCCGTTCAAAACCCCTGCCAGAAAGCATGATCGGCTGTCAGGGGGAAACCTGCAACATCCTCCCCCCCCCCAGGAAAAGAAACTGCCATGAGAAGCCAGGAGACCGTGGAGTTTCGTTCCCTCCCCCAAAGCCAGAGGAAGGAACTCCGGTACCCCAAGAAGACTCGAGCCAGTCTGAAAGCGATCCAGAAGATGCCCCACTGATAAGCAACCCAATCAAACCACCCCCGCTACCCCTAAGGCCTTTTATCCCCAGCTGAAGGTAAGAGGAGGAAGTAGCAGCATTACTGGGCTCAGGATGTACCTAATGCTTAATAAGCCCAACCCTGGCAGGGAGATTGGGAATCCACCTAAGAAAAATGAAAACCCCCATCTCTTTCTGCCAGCTAGATTGCACAATAGCGGGGGGGAGGGGGAATGGACCAGCCACAGAACCATTACAAAAAAACCTGGGGGACCATAGTGAGACCATCACATTCATATTAGCACCAGGAATGGAATGGCCACTAGTCCTAGGGCTCACGTGGCTATGGAAGTGGAACCCTAAGGTAAATTGGAGGGGTGGAAACGTAAAATTCCAGAAACATGTAACATTTGCAAACCTCCCAGAGGGAAAGGAGTGGAGAAAGGGAACAAGGAAATGGCTAGCCTCCCTGCTGAGGTCACTAACATCCCAAAAGAGTACCAGGATTTGGCCAAGGTATGTAGTAAGGAGGCATCGGATGAACTCCCACCCCATTGCGCCATGGATGATGCCATTGAGATCATACCTGGGGCTAAACTTCCAAAACCAAGGATGTACTACATGTTCCCCAAAGAACTAGATGAACTCAGAGCATTTATCGACAAAAATCTAAAAGGTTTCATTGAACCCACCGATCAAAAATAGTGGACCCTGCATTATTCCGTGAAAAGAAAGATGGCTCCTTATGCCTTTGTGTCGAGTACCATAAACTCAACATGATTAGTGTGGAAAATATTTAACCTCTCCCCCTCATGAAGGATATGCTGGCCGACCTCTCTAAAGGAAAAATCTTTTCAAAGCTGGATTTATGAGCGGAATATTACTGCATCAGAATTAGGAAAGAGGATGAGTGGAAGACTGCTTTTAACAACCCACTGGGGTGTTATCAATTTAAAGCACTCCCTTTCAGATTACAAGAGGCCTCTTCTGTGTTTATGCAACTAATTAATGAGGTGCTACATGAACATTTATACAAAGGGGTCTTGGTTTACCTTGATGACATTCTCAACTACACCAAAACAAAAGCAGAACACCTAAAACTAGTCTGAGCAGTTCTCGCTAAACTCCAAGTCACTAAGCTCTATGCAAAACTCTCTAAATGTGAGTTCCACCAAGAAACAGTTGACTATCTGAGATTCAGAAAACCCCATGAGGGGATAGAGATGGATCCACAAAAGGTAAACACCATCATTAATTGGGAACCACCCCAAACCCATAAACAACTACAAAGTTTCCTGGGGTTTGCTAACTTTTACCGTCAATTCATTCCAGCCTTTGTACAAATCGCTTTCCCTATTACAAATTTGCTAAAGACAAAGGGGGGGGGGGGCTGAAACCAAGGCAACCCCTTAACTGGACCATGGAATGCCAAGCAGCATTTGAAAAATTTAAACAACTATTCTCACCGAACCAATCCTAAAACATCCAGATCCAGAACAACCATTTGTCATCCAAGCAGATATCAATGACGTGGCAGTAGGAGCCGTCCTACTGCAAAACAATGAACAGTGACAATTGCAACTGTGTGTATACACATCTAAAAAAATTGACAGAAACTGAGCAAAGATGAGCTATATGGGAGAAACAATCTTATGCAGTATGATGGGCCCTCCTCACATGGAGGCAATTCTTAGAATGGAACAAAATCCCCTTCAAATCTGGACTGGTCATAAAAACCTAGAAGCTCTGGTGACACCACGCAAACTCTCCCCCAAACAAGTACGTTGGGCACAATACTTTAAACGGTTTAATTTCACCCTCAAATATCTCCCAGGAGGAAAAAACTTCTTAGCTGATGCCCTGTCCAGAAAACCCCAATACAACAGCAAAAAGACTGAAATTGTTAAACCTATGCTCCAAACACCCCAGCTAGCCACCAAAGTAATTACCTGAGCCCA